ATTTTATATGTGTATGTATGTATGTGTATGTACGTATGTATACATATATATAGTGGGTGTATGTGTGTGTGTGTGTTTTATTTTTTTATTTCGTTTTTTATTTTTATTTTTATTATTATTGTAAATATTATTATGATTAATATTATCATTGTAATACCTCACACCGATTGCTGTACCAAACCAGATACACCATCGTCTGTTATGTATCACACGTACGTCTAGCCACTCATGTCTACCACTGACCCTCTGCAGGGAACTACCACTCTTTGCATCGGCTGATGTTCTACGATGTTCAACCGGAGGAGATCCGTGAACAGGTGCTGTGTCACATCCTCAAAGAAGGTCAGGCCATGCGCAAAGAACAGTCTCACAGTGTTGTATCGCTGAAGGCGCGCAAGAGGCTCTCCGGAGACTTTGGCAATCAGGTGCGTGTATTTGGACGTGTGAATGTGTGTGTATGAGCCTATTTATGAGTTTGTGTGTATACGTGTGTGTTTGTTTGTATGTACGTATATACTTTTGCTTTTGCTTGAGTATATGTATGCGTTTGTGCCATTATTTAAATGTGCATATGTATGTACACGTGGGTATTGTTTTATTTTTAAAAATATATGTGTACGTGTATCTTATGTATGTATATGTGTGTGTTATAAAGTTTGTGTGCATGAGTAAATTCCGTTCGTGTGTATATCTATTCCATGTATACTTCATGCATCCTGTCTCACCCGTGGCTATCATGTTTGTCTGTAAACGGCTCCTGGGTGCGGCCATGCATATGCACGAGGATGACAAATTAAAGTTAACCGTATAATTAGGATTAGCTTGTTTCTCAATAATGAAAAGCCACATGCCTTTTAATACTGATAAGGCTGTCCTACAGCGTTGACCTTTAAACGCCAGGTATTGAAGAGGGCTATGCGTATTTACTAAACAATACGTACCGAACTTTTGAAGATTTGTCAGTACATCCGCAGTCTTTTACTGAGGCCGGAAGGCTCATTGGTGGGCTAATAGACGTACCATGTCACTCGTGACAGTGTGATGATATCCACTGAGTTGTGTATGATATGTTCGTGTAGTGTATCGACCATCCGCCTCTCCTTGGGCTCGACTGACAAGCTGGCGATACCTATGACCACCCCGAATAACGTTTTCGCTAGAACCCTAAAACCCTGAACTTTGAAATGTCACAGATCAACAGTCTGCGGCCTCCTCTGAGATCGGTCGCATCTATGGCAAATTTCAAAACTTATATATCCGACGATGATGAAGAACAAACTCCCACTGGCAGTCCAGAGAGGCATGGACAATTGATGTTATACCCAAAACCCTAAAACAGACAATTGAAATCAGAACAGTAAACATAACGCATGTTGGAGTAACGAACGCGATTCATGTTGGAATGGTTGGTACAGGTCGTTTAAATTGTTGGAATACCAATATATATATATATATATATATATATATATAATGTTATATATATATATAGAAATATATATATATATATATATATATATACACGTATGTTTGTATATATGTATGTATGTAAGTGTACGTATATATGTATGTATATGTATGTATGT